AGTAAACAAAGAATATCCAATTACAAAGTCTTCTTACCAGTTGCCTTTGTCCTTTCCAGTAAACCAAGCTATCAAAGTCTAAGCACAGCCTAAAGACAACCGATAGCGACAGAACCTCAGAGAGACGGACCGTCAGAGAGAGCAAGCCGTGATCTCTAGCTCCCTCTTGTGGTCGTCCGCAGTATAATCCACCAATCGGAATATAGTCTAGATCAAGACAGTGGTTTTTGTCTTAAAGCTACAAACATAACATTGTTGGTTTAGATATTGGCAACCCAACTCATTGGACAGATTCCTAACAAGCCGGTTTGTGGGCCGGCAACCGGCATCGGGTGGCCGAGAAGGGGAAAAGGAAGTGCCGCATCTTCCGCGCCAGGCGGCGTCCTCTGCCGCCCCCCTTCCGGCCAGGCCCGCTGACGCCCCCGTCTGCTCCCTCCCCTCCACAGGCCCCGTAGCAAGTCGGCGTGGCACATCCACGTGCAGAGCCGGCTGGAGAAAGGGCCCCAGGGGGGGAGCCCTTTGCCGGCTCCTCCTCTCCCCCCGCCCACCGGCCGGACCCCCTCCGGCCCAAACACCAGTAGGTAATGGCTCCTCCGCTCCTCCCGCCGGGGCTGCTGGTTGGCTTGCTGGTCTGTCTCCTGCCTGGGGAAAAGCTCAAGGGCCTCCGCTGCTGCTGCCGCTACCCACCGCCGGTGTGGGGGGGGGAGGGCAGGTGGGCGGGGGCGGGGACACACCGGCAGCCTAAACACAGCCCCTCCCCTCCTTCCCGGCAGCAACCCCGACCTTCGGAGGAGCGACCCCGGCTGGGAACGGGGAGACAGCTTGCTGCAGTCAGGGGCCGCTCACCTGCCCCAAGCCGGCTCCTTGGAGCGCAACCGCGTGGCAGGTAAGGCAAGACTTTTCGGGGGGGCGGGGTCTATCTCGGGGGGGCCCCCATACACACACCCCGCAAGAGCGATGGGGTGTGGGATTCTCCCGGTTCGCCCCTATTCGCTAGAACCGGTTGCTAACCTTCTCAGCAGTTGGGAGAACCGGTTTACAGGGCTAATCCTGTAAAGGAAGGCAGGAAGGAAACATTCTGGGGTTGCTGACAGAAACTGCCTCTCCATTCACCCTTATTACATCCTTGGCGGGACTAGACTTCCTGTCTCCGGAGCTTCTCCGGAGTTTTTTTTTTCCCACTCCTTTGCTGGTCCTTGGCTTGGGTGGAGCGGACCCTTCCAAGTTACAACGGCGCTTAAAAAAAAGCGCGACTTATGACCCTTTTTCACACTTAACGACGGTTGCAAACGTCTCCACAGTCACGAGAGGCCAAGCGAGGAGAGGCGTGCCTTGACAGGAGGGAGGTTGAATTGACCACGCTGGGGCAATCGCATGACCCCCCACGAGCCACGGCCCCCCGGTCCCATGCCCCCCTAAGCCACGCCCCCTAAGCCACGCCCCCCTAAGCCACGCCCCCCTAAGCCACGCCCACCGAACCGGTTGTTGAAAAATTGGAATCCCACCTCTGCCCTTCTCCCCTCGACACCCTCCCCCTCCGGCCGGGCTGGGAGGGGCAAAGCAAGGGGGAGGGGCAGGGTTTCCACTTCTACCCAAGATGGCCTCACCCTGCCACCCACCCCTCCGGTCTCTCCCGCAGCTCCCCTGAAGCTGGAGGCCTCGCCTGTCCTCTCCCAAGTCCGGAAAGCCAAGGCAGACGACCATCGCTCCCGGCCGGGACGGCCAGCAGTGAGTAGCCACAGGGGCAGCGTCCGGTTTGGCTGAAAGGCCAGAGGGGGGGGGGGGGGGGGGGGGAATAAGGGCCCGCAAAGGAGCAGCCCTGCCAGGGAAGACCCCCCACACATACCCCCAATCCCCTGGTAGGGAGGGGGAGCAGCCAGAGAACCGGCAAGATCAGCCGAGAAGAATTTGGGGGCTCGGAGAAGCCGTGTTGGCGACCCAGCAGGAGGCTTTGTGGAGGGGGGGAGGGAAGACGGAGGAAGCCCTCCCCCTCCCCTGGTCTCCTGTGCCTGGTGTTGGGCAAGGGGGGGAGGGCAGGGCGGAGGGGGGGGCCGCCGCGGAGTAGCCTAATCTCCTCCTCCTCCTCCCCCCCCCTTTCTCTTTCTCTTTCCTCCTGCATGACTCAGAGCTATAAGCGGGCAATTGGTGAGGTTAGTGCCACTTTCTCTCCCCCGCCCCGAATCTGCCTCCCTCCCTTACTTTCCCCTCCCTCTCCTGTGGGGGAAGGTGCCCAGGGCCTGCTGGGCGCGAGAGGGGGAGAGCCGGTCGTGTCCCTGTTCCTCTCTGCGACGGGGAGGGAGAGGAATCGGTCCCTCTGCCGTAGCCCGCCAAGCCTTTTATCAATGCCCGGACCCCTCCCTCTCTCCCTCTTTCCCTCTTCCCCTCCCTCTAGAATTTCGTCCTGCTCAAGGAACGCCCGGAGGAGGCGGCCCCCAAACCCCTCAAAAAGGCCCTGGACTACTCCTCCTCCAGCGAAGAGTTGGACTCGAGCGACGAGGAAGAGGAGGAGGAGGAGGAGGAAGAGGAGGCAGGCGACGGGGAGCGCTCCGAGGCCGGCACCAGCACGCCCGGGGCCAGGTGAGGATCTGCGGGCGGTGGAGGCGTAGGGGGGGGCGCTCGGCTTCTCTTCCGGGCCTCCCCCCTTCTTCGCGCGCCCACCCCCACCTCCTCCCGGGACTGACGGACATCTCCGCCTTCCTCTCCGGCCCGCAGGGACGGCGACACCGACTCGGTCAGCACCATGGTGGTGCACGACGTGGAGGACTTGACGGGCGGCAGCGGGGGCTCCGAGAGCTCCTACGGGGAGGGCACCATGCTGGTGGAGCGGGTGAGCGGCCGGCCTCCCCCTCCCCCTGCAGGAGGGGGGGCCCCCCCCCCCAGAACGCCCACCCACCCGCCACCCGGGAGTATCTCTTTTCTCCCGCCGGATCAGCCGGACGCGGCTCACTCTTGGCTGTCTTTTCATCCGGTCTCCCTGGGCGGCGGCCTTTCCTCGGATCCCTGAGGACCCCCGTAAGGAGGGTGGGGGGGTCCGGTGGGAGCCCCCCCTCCCTCTCCGCCAAATGGTCCCCCTTCTCCCTGCCGGGCCTGCGGCGTAGTCGAGGGCGGGACCGGCCTACCTCGCCTTCGGCCCGGCCCATCCGTGTGAGCATCCCCCTCCCCGCTCTTCCCCCCTCTCCAGACTCCCGAGGAGGAACGTGGCCTCCTGCACAGCGACAGCAATGGCTACACCAATTTGCCCGACGTGGTTCAGCCCAGCCACTCGCCCACGGAAGCCAAGAGTAGCAACGGCTCCTCTTCGCCTACCAAGGATATGGCCACCGACGTGAGTGGCTGGGCCGTCCCCCCGGGGGGGCTGGAGGAGGGAGGCCACCCTGCCCAGCGACCTCGGCACTCTGGGGGGGGAGGGGAGAGAGGACGCTGACCCCCCATTGTGGAGGTATTCCCCGTTAGGAGAACGAACGCGCTCAGGGAAACGTCACGAGAGCGGTGACGAATAACGCCACAACCGGCACGCAGCTACCCCGAGTAGTCAAATGTAGCTTTTACTTCCCGTAAGCGGGTGAACCAAAGTCCAAGAAACGGTCCAAATCATACGCGGTTAAAGCAGGGTTCAAAAAGAATCCGTCCGGGGGAATAATCCAAACCACGAACTCCTTTTCTTGACTGGTATCGTCCACCAAGTTGAGTAAAACGGGAGTTTGCCAATACTTGCAAGACTCACAGCAATGCAAGCAGAATGATAAAATCGGGCAAAAGGAAAGCAAAGGAAATACAAAAACAAAACAAAACACCAAACCGGGTTTCGGGCTCCATCTTAGGGCCGTTGGAGGAAGCTCAGCCAATCGCAACGTTCTCTTAAAGAGACGGCGGTATTCGATGACCATCCTGGTTTATCGATTAAACCAACCCGAGGCTTAGCTGACCATCATGTCTAATACTTCTTCCCCCCTCCCTGCCCGCAGTATCAGTCGCGGGGACTCGTCAAGGCTCCCGGCAAGAGCTCCTTCACCATGTTTGTGGACCTGGGCATCTATCAAAGCTCCCCTGGGGGCGGAGACACCATCCCCATCACAGGTGAGCGGCTGAGCCGCGACGGCGCGGGCCGCTCGGGGCTCTGGCCTTCCACAGGAGGCCGTGGTTGTGTGGTTGAAGGGGCCTTGGGGAGCGACCGGGTGGGTTTGGACGGCCCTCGTTCTCCCTCTCTCTGTCCCCTGAACCCTCTTTTCCTCTGGCCTCCCCGTCGGGGCAGCTTTCGACGCCGGGCGGTTGGAGCAACTCCAACTGGAGGCCCGGAAAGGCTCCGTGGTCAACGTCAACCCTACCAACACGCGGCCTCACAGCGACACGCCGGAGATCCGCAAGTACAAGAAGCGCTTCAACTCGGAGATTCTCTGCGCGGCTCTTTGGGGTGAGAGACGGGCGGTACCCGGAGGAGGAGTCTGCGTCTGTGTGTGTGTGGAACCAGGGAAGGGAGGGGCTTCGGGGATGGGACGCTCATCTCCTCCCCTCCCCTTCCCCAGGGGTCAACTTACTGGTGGGCACGGAGAACGGGCTGATGCTGTTGGACCGCAGCGGGCAAGGGAAAGTGTACAGCCTCATCAACCGCCGGCGCTTCCAGCAGATGGACGTTCTGGAGGGCCTCAACCTCCTGACCACCATCTCAGGTGCGCGCGCGGGGCGGGGTCGTCCCCCTGCCAGCCGTGAGATTGGGGCCGCGGGGGAGGCGGGAGAGGGGGGGAAACGACGACGCACACGGAGCCCGGAGGGCTCCTTTTCCTGTCTCGCCCCGCCGTCAGCCCCGCTCTCCTGCCTCTCTAGGCAAGAGGAACAAGTTGCGCGTCTATTACCTCTCCTGGCTCCGCAACAAGATCCTACACAACGACCCCGAAGTGGAGAAGAAACAAGGCTGGACCACCGTCGGGGATATGGAGGGCTGCATTCACTACCGCGTGGGTGAGTGGAGCAGAGCCCCGGCGGAGATCGCCGGCCTCTCCTTAAGCCACGGTCCCCGTTCCTTGGGGACGGGGTGGTGGCGGAGCGGAGGGGAGGGGGATCCCTCTTGAGACCCAGACCCTTGACGGGGATCCCGTCGCCTGCAGTGAAGTACGAGCGGATCAAGTTCCTGGTGATCGCGCTGAAGAGCTCGGTGGAAGTGTACGCCTGGGCGCCGAAGCCCTACCACAAGTTTATGGCCTTCAAGGTACCGCCGGGTGGGAGGGCTCGGGAAGCGGAGGGAGGGGTGTCCTCTCTCCTCCCGCCTCCTTGGCAGCTCCGGTGAGTCACTTCCCTCCCGTTCCTTCCCCTCTTTCCCCTCCCTCTCCCACCGTCGGCGCCCTCCAGTCCTTCGCTGACCTCCCGCATCGGCCGCTGCTGGTGGAGCTGACGGTGGAGGAAGGCCAGCGGTTGAAGGTCATCTACGGTTCGTGTGCCGGCTTCCACGCCATCGACGTCGACTCGGGGAACAACTACGACATCTACATCCCGGTCCACGTGAGTTGCCGGTGAAGGAGAGGGTGGGGGAGCCCCTTCGGAGGACCCCGTTTCCCCCTCCCCAGGGCCACGCGGGGATGACAGCCGCTCCTCCTTCTCCCCCTCCCCTCCCCTCCTCCCCTCCCCCCCAGATCCAGTCCCAGATCACCCCACACGCCATCGTCTTCCTGCCCAACACGGACGGAATGGAGATGCTCCTGTGCTACGAGGACGAGGGCGTCTACGTCAACACCTTCGGCCGCATCATCAAGGACGTGGTCCTGCAGTGGGGGGAGATGCCCACCTCTGTCGGTGAGCCCGGAGACGGCAGGAGGGGCGGGCGGGGCTGCGGAAAATCCCGGCACGAACGCTCCGCACATCCTCAGACCGCAGGGACTCCCAGGCTGACTTCGCCTTCGCGGTGGTGGGGCTCCTCGGAGCGGAGCTCCGGCGGCTTCTCTCTGGCGGGAAAACACAGGAGGGGAGGGTTCTTCCTGGCCAACCAGGATGCTTTCGGCCCAAACCCGGAGCCCCTCCCTTCCCTGGGCTGTGGGGGCCCCCCCCCCCCCCCCGCCGACCTGGGAGGAAGCCCCTCCCCTCCCTCGGTCAGGCCTGCCTCCTCCCTGCAAGCGGTCGCAAGAGCTTTCCCCTCCTCTTCTCTGGCCATGTTCTGACCCGAGCCTCCTTCAAATCAAACCGCAAAGCAAACCTTTTTCAATGCGGCGCTGGGAATTCTGTGCATTCCCAGCCAAGAGTCCTTCCCAACTCCAGATAAGAGCCGGCCCGGTTGCGAAAGTCCGCCAAGAACCAAAGACTATTTGCCGATAAATATCCCAAAGCCAGAAGTTTCCCCCAAAAAAACCCGGAATAAACAGGGCTTCAATCAATCGAAAGTACTTCCTTGCTTCCTGCAAAGGAGCCAAACCCCCCAAAGGCTGCCTTTCATCCCTCAGGGGATAAAAGGCCTCGCAGCCTTCGTCCCGATTCACCCGTGCTGCTGCGGCTGCTCTTCCCTTCGCACGCGCATTAGCTCGGGCTCCTCGGGCTCCTCGTCCTCACTGCGGCCAGCCTCCACAATCTCCGACGGCGGGCACCCCACTCCCCGATCGTCCTGGGCCCCCCACCTCCCTCCCTGCAGCCCACGCAGGCCCCTCCGAGGCCTCGGCTATCCGTACCTGTTGCCCGGGAACCACGACGGGGGGCAGGGGGGGAGGGATTATCGGGGTCCGGGCACTGCCTCTCTTTTGTGTTTGTGTGTGTGTGTCATGTCTAGTGCCGGACCCCACCCACCCACGTTCTTTCCTCTTCTCTCCCCCTCCCTCCTTCCCTCCCTCCAGCGTACATCTGCTCCAACCAGATCATGGGATGGGGCGAGAAAGCCATCGAAATCCGCTCGGTGGAGACGGGGCACCTGGACGGGGTCTTCATGCACAAACGGGCGCAGCGGCTGAAGTTCTTGTGCGAGCGGAACGACAAGGTCGGTCCCGCCGGAGGGGATCCCCTAAACGGGGAGGGGGGGCGGAGAGGGGCCTGGGGGCGGAAGGGCCCTCCCTCTCTCTTCCTCCCACTCCTCCCCCCGCACCCACCCGCCTTCTGCAACCGTTTTTCTTCCCCTCCCCCCACCCCTCCGGCAGGTGTTCTTCGCCTCGGTGCGCTCGGGCGGCAGCAGTCAAGTCTACTTCATGACGCTCAACCGGAACTGCATCATGAACTGGTGAAGCCGCCTCGTCCAGCTGCGGCCGGAGGAAGAAGATCCCGCTCCCCTCTCTTCGCTCCCTCCTTTTGGGGAGGGGAATCCCTTCTGGGGGCTCCTGCCTCTTTCCTCCTCCTCCTCCTCCTCCTCCTCCCCCCCCCCCAGGCAGCAGCTGATGTGGGGGAGGAGAGAGGGAGGGAGGGCTCTGGCTCGACCGACATCCCCTCCCCGGTCTCTGTCCCCCCTCAACTGCGGAGCGAGGGATGAGGCTGAGGATGACGCTGAGGATGAGGATGAGGATGCAACGCGTGAGGGACGTCACCCTCACGCCCTCAAATCTTTCTGGCTCGCTTCCCCCTCCCCTCGCCCCCCCTCTTGGGATCGGGGTACCATGATCCCCACCCGTCTCCTTGGCGCTTTGGAGTCCTCGAGGGGGGACGACTGGT